GAATTATAAAGGAGCATGAAGAAACTATTAGGAGTGATGGATATGTTCATTATCTTGACTGAACTGAGTTTCATGGGCATATATGTATGTCAAAACTCATGAACTTGTATGCTTTAAGTAAGTGCAATTTATTGTACGCCAATTGTATCTCAAAAAAAAAAGTTTAGAACAATAGCTTACATGAGGAAAGACAGTGCGAAATAAAAAAAGTAATGAGCATAGAGGTCTGGGAGGTCTGCAATTAAATGAATCATTTACTTGATGCATGGTCTTAGGCAACTTATTTAAGTCCTCTGAATCAAAGTGTCCTTCTCTGTAAAATGGATATTATAGCAGTTAGGATTGTGTTCATATATTTCTGAAAACTGGACAATGGCCGAAACAAGTTAGGAATGTATTTGTCTTATGGGCAAGAACTTTGGGGGGAGGCTGTCCAGAGCCAGCATGGAGGGTCAGTGACATCAGTGAGAAACCAGTATCCTTTAGCTTCCTTAGTAATGGCTGCTGTTCCTCCCAACTTGTATATTCCAGCAGGATGAGGGAGGAAAGGGAAAAGGCACCATTAGCTGACCTCTTCCTGTGTTTCACTGGCCATAACTGAGTCACTTAGCTATCCATAGCTGAAAAAGTGTCTGGGAAGGCAAATGTTTGTTCTCTAGACTCTATAGCACATAAGGGAAAGCAGTAAGGGGCTGGGGTGGGCATTGAAGGGGCCAACCTACAGCATCCACCCCAGGTATAATAAGAGTACCTACCACAAATAGTTGTTGAGAAGTTTCAAGAGCATAAAGGATAAAAATTAGCTGTGAAAACCATAAAATACCAACAAGAAAAGTCATGTTGTTATTTGCTTCCTAAATGTCCCAGAAGGCCTAATCTGACCAGAATTTGTCATCCTCTTAAATTAATGCAAGTGCCGTTATAATGCTGTTAACAAAATTCTTAGCTAATGGTATGATAATATGCAAATGATAAAATGCAAAAATAGTAAAAATTGTGTTTGTAAACACCATGGGCTGCCTCAGGTTTATTCTGTCCGTTAGACTCATAAGCCTGGAGGCAGACGAGCTTCTATACATAGAGTTGAACCACAGGGGAAGTGGTAATAAGGTATTAGCGGATTTTCTAGGAAAGCCCTTGTCAGGGCACCCTAGGAGGCCAGGAGTCCCCACATCAGCAAACTGGATTAAACTCTGTATATGTGAACCTAGAGAAAAGGCTCAATGTCAGGTCTTCACACAGGCCTTTTTTAACCACCCAATCTGAGGTGCCTTTTTGACCATAGTCGTGCCTTTGTTCATTATCACATTTTATTTTCTGAAGTGCTACTGAAATTATTTGTTTATTTTCTGTCTCCTTCCCCAACTTTGAAAACTTGATTCCATAAGAGCGAGGACATTTTGTATCTTATTCACAGGTATTAATCTAGATTTTTGAAAAGTATTCGACCCATGATAGATATTCTAGATAAACCTTTTGTTTATTTTTATTTTTTTTAATTTTTAAAGATTTTATTTATTTCTTTGGGAGAGAGAGCATGAGCAGGGAGGGGCAGAGGGGGAGGCAAAGGGAACAGGGCAGAAGGGGAGGCGGGGCAGAGGGAAAGGGAGAAGCAGGCTCCCCACTGAGAGCCCATTGAGGGACTCAATGCAGGACTCAATCCCAGGACCCTGGGATCATGACCTGAGCTGAAGGCAGACGCTTAACCGACTGAGCCACCCAGGTGCCTCTCTAAATAAACCTTTTGAATGACCTTTTATCCACTTATATATATTTATTGCTCCCCCATCTAGTTAATTAACTCTCATCACCTCACATATTTTTCTTCTTCTTTGTGAGAACATTTAAGTTCTACACTCTTTATAAATATCATTATAGAATACAAAGTTATCCACTTTAATCATATTATACATTAGGTCCTTAAACCTTATTCATCGTATAGCTGAAAGTTTGTACCCTTTAACCATATATTGTTACTTTAATATCATGGTACCTACTTTTTGCCCTGTCTTTCAAATATCTTTACCAAAAATAGTATCCTGACTGGGAATGGATATGGGGGAAAGTTTTGTGAATTGTAGTGTGTGTAAAAGAAAATTAGATTCTAAAGAAATAATCTTCGAGGCATGTTCTAGCCATATTAAAGCTAGTATTTTGGGCATGGAATGCATTACCTTTGTAAAACAAAGTAACCAAGCTATTGATTTAATTTTTAAGTTTGCACTTAACTAAAGCTTTTTAAACTGACATGTTGTGGTCTGTTGTGTGGGATTTTTCTTTGAATATGTTCATATATTTAAACCACAAAGAAGCAAGATTGTGTAATATCATTTGTGCAAAGATATGCATATCTAAACCCAATTGAGAAACATGAGAACTCTAAAAACAGTTTTCTGCAACCAACATGCCATTGACACATACTCCCAGCTTCGTAATTACTGGGAAGGTTTTCTTTTGTTTTCATTTTTAATCTGAAAATTTTTTTGATGTCTTCTACATCCAGATAGCTGTATTTAGTTATTTTGCAGTGTGAATCTTCACCATAATCTGATATTAGCACACATCTTCAAGGTCATTGGGTTCTGACCTTACATTGGTCTTTAGTGTTTAGTTGAGACGGTCTAATACCAAGGAGTAAAAACACTGACAAAACTTATGAGGGATCCACTAGAAGGCAGCAAAGTGCAAACCAAATTTAAATTTGCCCTAGGCAAGGCTGATGCTTTCATGAAAAAATTTGTATTGCAAAGATTTCTTAAATGCAAAACATTCAAATTAGTTCAGTAATGTAAAGGAACTTACATACAAATGTTTCTCTTTCTTGGAAGTAGTGATCCAAAGACTCATTAGGTTGAAGAGCAAAATGAGAATAGAATTGGTCCTAGCCCCACATCTTATACTAATTGTGTGATTTGGGGCAATCTACAGTTTGTCTTTTTGGTCCTTTTCTATGTTACATGGGTTTGTACAAAATAATTCTTAAAGTTCTTTTCAACTCTAAAATCCCAAGGTCTTATGATTTATGATTATATTTTAGTCATTTAAGTCTTGCTGATTAGGCTCTTACAATTGTTTGATCAACGATAACTTGATATTAGTAGAGATTCTGTTTGGAAATACCCACCATTATTTCATGGAAAATTTAGGTCCCTGAAATATGTTGATGTTACCTTAATAAAATGATACTTCTGCCCCCAAACTATTACTTGTATATAATCTAGTGACAATAGTGATTGCAATGTTTTCCGAATAGGTTTTGATATTTAAACCATCAGTGCAATCTGTTTTTATTTTTTAAAAAAGCAACAAAATAAAATCCCAACCTGATATATTGTATGTAGCCAAGTTGTTTTCACTTTCCATTTATTTTCCTTTTAAAGTACTACATATGTGAATTCAGTATTGGTTATTCTACCAAAACTCTGAAATCGTGAAGAAAGTTAAACATTTTTAAAAAAGTTGTTGGCTTGAAGGCAAGGGATATGGTGACTTAGACTGAAGAGCACATGAAAGGTCTGAACTACTGTTATGTCACCATTCACTTGGTCAACCACATGGAGCTTCTGGATGTGGCTGATTTTGACAGTGAATTCACAGTTATTCTTCACATTTGTTCAATGCTGGTCATTGTAAGCACCCACACAATAACCCATTTTCAGCTTATGCCTGAGTTGTGACTAATACTGAAACCCTGTTCTAAACAGCATTTTTTCATGAGCACCAGTGGATAAAACTCTAACGGTTTAGTGAAAGCAGAAAAGGTTTCTGAATCCAGACTGCTAATGTAGTCGTATTTAATACCACACCACACCACATATTCAAATATTTTCAACCCTCATTTAAGGACACATTTTCCTCCTATATGCATAAGAAAGGGAGAAATATGCTTATTTGGCAGTGAATGTGACCAAGGAAGGAAAATCATCTCTTAAAACATAATACACTTATTATCACTATCAGAAGCCAGAGGTAGAACAATATTATAATTATGTTCTAGACTCCCTGCCCTTGCACATTAGCTCAGCTGGGGCCAATTAGGCTAGCACCCTTTTTTTCTATGACTCTGAGACTAGTTAGCATCTTCTCGGAACCTTAGACATTAGTGTGAGATAGTAAGTTACTCATTTGAGCCAATTTGCTTTTCCACTAGGGTGTGAGGATGTGAAGAGACCCCCAACTCAGAAATAGTTTCATATATAAATTGCCATCCCACAACAGTAATGAGATGAACCGAAGCTTGGTATTATTTCTAGAATGTAACGAGTAAAATACTGGTTGCTTACATGCAAAGCCTGACTCTGCTCTATATTCTGTGCCTCAGTATCCTCAGCTCTAAAATGAGGACAACTGTGCCTGCCTTTCAGGTTTGTTTAAAAAATTAAACTAGTTAATACATGTAAAACTGTTATTATTTTAACTTAGAATATTAAAATGGCTTCAATTTTTCCAGTGCTTTTCCAGCAAGATGTAACTAAAAGTATCAGGTTTGAGTTTCTATTAATAATTCACTGTTGACCTTGAACAAGTTACTTCACCTCTCTTGGCCTCATTTTCTCACCTGGGGTCTTAAACAATGCTTCAAAGGTAATACCCGCTCTAAGATGGTCTCAGTGGATGTTGTGGAATAAACAAACTTCAATATGAGGAGGTTGAGGCAAATAGATCACCAGGACACCCTCTAGTTTTAACACTTCCTGTGATCCATTATCTCCCAACAGGGGCTGTGAGGAACATGAAGTGCAATTGTCTATGCTGGGAACCACTACTGCAGAACACCATACCATTTTCTGAAACGCATTTTGAAGGTATTACACAAAATATTACGTCCTTTATTGTGATAATTAATCTAGCAACATATGTGCCAGTATTGAACTGAACGAAGTCATGGGTAGAAGAATGAATAAATAGCATTTATTTTGTACGGAGCGGCTGTCCGTGTCCGAGTTCCCAGCGGGCGGAGAGCGCCCCGAGGGGACAGACGGCCCGAGGCCCGGGCGCCCTCAGGGGAGCAGCAGGGAGCCCAGCAGCAGCTCCCCCTGGCCCAGCAGGCGGCCCCGCTCCCGGCCGCGGCCCCGCTTCTCCGCCTTGACGCGCACGGCCAGGCGGCGCACCTGGTCCTCCGAGAGCCCGTCCAGGCACACGTCCTGGTCGAAGGCGGCCTTGCGGCTCGGCCGCACCACGGCGCTGCGCTGCGGCCGCGTCTTGCCCGGCGGCCGCAGGACGAAGCTGACGCGGCAGCCGACGGCGCGGGGCTCGGCGGTTCCCGCGGCCAGGCCCTGGGCGCCCAGCAGCCGGACGCGGAGCCGCCCGCTGGCCCGACTGTACTGGGCGGCCAGGCGCAGGGCCTCCCCGGCGCCGCCCAGGGCCACGGTGCCCTCGGCCTCCAGGCACTCGGGCCCCGGGTCGGAGGCAGGCGGCGGCGGCGGGGACGCGGAAGGGGCCCGGGCCGGGGGCCGCGAGCCGGCGCCGCGCTGCTCGTCCTCGTCCCGACCGGACGCGCAACGGGCGCGCGCCAGGCCGCGGCTCCTGCGGGCCCGCAGCGCGCGGCTCAGCAGTCCTTCGGGGGCGCGCAGGAGGCGGTGGGCGCCGGGCGGCGGGGCGGGCGCGTCGGGGATCGGGTGGGGGCCGGCGGGGAGCGCGGGGGCGGGGGCGGGGGCTGCGCCCGGGGGTAGGAGCGGGGCGGCCCCGGGGCCCCCGAGGAAGAGCGACTCCTTGCGGCGAGTGTGCGGGCTCTCGAGCAGCGCGCAGAAGCCGTAGGCGGTGCGCGCGCGCGGCAGGTGCGGCAGCGAGAGCGCGGCCTGCGAGCGCGGGTCCCAGTCCGTGTGCCCGGCGGCGGCGTCTATTTCTGCCGCTTCGAGCCAGGAAACCCGGAGTGCAGCCAGGGCCGTGCAGGGCGCGAGTCGCGGGGGGATGCAGAACTCGGGGATGCGGTCCGGGGTGAGCACGTTTTCCCACGCGGCGGGCATGAGGGCCGGGACTCGGCGGCCCCGACCCTGAAGAATCCCGTTCCTGCTCCTCAGGAGGCGCTCGGGACCCAAGCGGAGCCTCTCCAGGCACCACATAAGGCGGCGGGTGCCGGATGCGAGTGACCCTCTGCTGGTGCTGCTGGGCTTGCACTTTGCAAGGGTACACCAGTCACCAGAGGGAGCTCTGCAAGGCGTAGCAATTCCCGTGTCTTTTCTTCTACTTGAGGGGCGCTTTCTCCTTCCTCCCCTGGACAGCGCAAGCTGCCCTTCACACTGCTATTGCAAGCTATGTTTCAGGGATTGAAGAACAATCGTTCTTCTCTTGTCTCTAGTAGTCCTGTACAGTTCGGGGCTTGTTGATTTAATCTCGGTCCTCCGCTGGTTTAAGGCGGAGATTCTCACAACGTTGGCCTTTAACTTTGGTCGTGCCGTCCTAAATGCCAAGAGGCGCTTTGCTTGTGCAGTCGTTTCCCGAATCCTTGGATTATTGCACTCTAGTCCTCGGCGAGAATTAAAATAATAATTATCCCCTCTAGGACTCACGGCTTGCCCCCAGACGAGTTAAACAAGGATGTGAATCCCTCCTAGCGTACCTGGGGTCCGGTGTCAGATGGGTGTCTGCACGGTTCTGCGTGAGGCACCGTGCCAGGGAGGCGCGCAGCTTCTGGGTAGTTCAAAGCGCCCGCGGCGGGATTCAGCACCGCTGTTCAAGGACAGCCGGCCTGAGCCTTTATACCTGGGGCCCCGACAGCTGGCCAATGGGCGGGCTCGAGAGGCGCTGCTTGGTAACCTGACGCCAGGCCTTCCGCTCTGCCACGTGGCTAGGTCGACTGCGCAAATTCGAAACATTCAGTTCCTTCTCTCCCTTGCGTGTGGTGGGTCTGTTATTCTCAGAAATCCTAAACAAATTTCTATATTCTCACGTGCGAAAAAGGGTTAAATCTCAACTATATCGACAGTCGTTGGGGGGATCGCCGCACGTATGAGTGTGAATCCACGGAAGAACTCTAAGCCCACCACTAAAAGAAGATTAAAAAGTTGGGTTCTTACTTAAGACCGTCCCTGTCCCCTAAAAGCCAGCCTTTGAAGTTTCTTACCTGCTTTCTGGTTTTCAGTCCTGATGTTAAATGTATTTTCTTTGTTGATTAGAAGTTACTCGGTACAGGAACCTTATGGAATGCTGAAAATATTCCATATCTTGATCTGGGTGAGGTTACAGAGGTGTTTCCATATGCTAAAAAATCAGTTAGCATACACTTAAAATTACGTATCGGATTGTGTGTATCTCATACCTTAAAAGAAATCACAACCCACTTCTTAAGCCACGTGTGCTGATTTTTGATTGGGAAAATACACTCCTGCATACAACTGTGCTGTTGGAACCATCCGTTGAAGGCACCCGGATAACCTCTGGCCTTTCCAGGCTGTACCCACCTGGAACACCGGTTTTTCTTCCTTTTGAAAACTGACCCATGTTCATTCTGTAAGAGAACTGGTTCCAGCTAGCTCAGGTTAAAAGAGATCTGAGGCATTTTGTTGAGAATTTGAGTGTATGCTATTTCTGCTTAAAATACTGCCTTGTAAGTTAATTGCTTCTCCAAATAACGTTTAGTAATTAAACAAACTAATGTTCAGTGAATCATTTATCCAAAGGTGGTTTTAGGATGGGGCATGTGCATTTTGCTTTCAGGGTATACATACAGAGGCACTGTGCTCGATGATTTACATAATAGTCTCTAGAATTGTCACATAAACCTGCAAATTATGATTATTCCTAGTAACTTCCCATGTTCACAGTGATGGGAAATGGAGGAAATAATACACATTAGTGGTCGTAATTGAGTTGCTTTGGGAATTAAATGAATCTAATAATGTAAAATACTTAGCATTGTGCCTGGAACATGGTAAGTGCTAAATACACAGAAGTTGTGATTATTATTAATGATAATAAAAATAGAAGAGACGCTGTTGAGTGCTGTGGTTAAGAAAACTGGGTCTGAAATCAGATCTGGTGTTTTTTTTTTTAATTCTATTTATTTGAGAGAGAGAGACAGAAATAATGACAGAGAGTATGAGTGGGGAGGAGAGGGAGAAGCAGGCTCCCCGCTGAGCAGGGAGCCTGACGTGGGGCTTAATCCCAGGACTCTGGGATCATGACCTGAGCCGAAGGCAGACGCTTAACCAACTGAGCCACCCAGCTGCCCCTCAGATCTGGTTTTGATTGTAGAATGGCTCCTTACTATGTGACATGAGCAGGTTACTAAACCTTTCTAAGCCACTGTATCAGACGTACAATAGTAGTTGGGACCTTTGAGAGGTAATTAAATTAATGATGGTATAAAAGAGACCCAGGAGAGCTCCCTCACCCCTTTTGATAATAATAGTATGTACCTATAGGGTTGTCATAAATATATAATAAGATGATGCAAATAAAGAGTTTAGTATACACAGCCTAATATACACAATGTCTGATATGATATTTGATGTTATTATAGAAGAGAACAAATGCTCATTAGTTCATTTATTCATTCAAAGCAATATTTACTGACTGCTTCCTGGGTTTCAGCCACCATGTTAGGCATGTGGATCCAGGCTGTGCAAGATCACATCAGCTATATTCATCCATCAGAGGAGCAATGATGAGGATGCACTATTTGAATTCTGTCTAGCAGAGGCAGGAGGAGAAGGAACTATTGAACAGGATTTATATATACTTAGTCTTGGTAGGGAGGCAGGGTTGACAGGTCCCTGGGCTTGCCATGCCCTTGACTAGCTATTTTTTTGTCTTTATATCATCTCCATGCCTGGCCAAAATTCTTGGGGCAGTGCTAAATCTATGGGAGAATGATTGCTGAATTATATACTTGAGGGTGATGTGCAGGTGTTTTGACTCACCTTTTGTCAGTAGACAAGAGGCTGTTAGCTCTGCAAGTGAGAGCCTAGAGAGACCTTGGTTAAAATGGTGAGGCTCACAATCTGAGAAGTTGTTAAGCAAAGCTATGTTGTGGTGGGAGAAAGGAAGAAAGCACCAGAGCATGAGAAATGATTTATGGGTGAAGAAATAACAGACTTTGGAGTAAATTTGTCCTAGGTTGAATCTTTTTTATGCAACTTTTTAGCTATGGGACTGTGGGCAAGTTAATTAACCTCTTTGAGTCTAAGTTGTAAAATGAGGGTAATAATTTCTATCACACAAGACTATTGTGTTAAAAATACATGAAATGTCTGGCACACAGTAAGTGCTGGTGAACTATTAGCTGTTATTATTATACAGGTTTGCTTAGTCAGGGATTAGCTGATTCACACATGAAGTCCTCTAAAAACATTTTTCTTTGTGGCTAAGCAAGGCAGATTTGCTTTGTTTTTATTAACAATTCACCTTCTTCAGTGACACTTTAAAAGCATTTCCTGTGTAAGGTTTCTTGAAAACAGCAGGCCTGTCTTTGAATGGCTGGTCCCCTGTGGCCGCATTAAGCCTTATGTTTTCCTTACCTCAGAAGCATGAGCCATGGAGTACTTAGGAGGATGGTGTAACTGGGTCAAGCCCTACGCCTGGAACACACAGATCTACTCAGAGGAAGGCTGTGGCCCTTTAGGGCTCACAGCTGGAACCATGGGAACATCCAGTAATGGAGCTCTAAAATAATTTGGTGAAATAAGCATGAATAGATCACATACCATCCAGGCCAGAGGTGTTCTTGCAGTAGGAGGAAACTGAACAATATAAAGTAGACTTAAAAAAATAATGACTTGGAGGTTGGGTGTCACAGAAAGCAAGAAAAAGAGAGTTTATAACCAGGTAAAAAACACCAGTGTTCTGGATTATCCATCTTTCTCATTCAAGGAAGTAGAGTATGGAGCAATGGAAAAAACACAGACCAGGGAGTCAGGACATTGAGTTTTAGCTCTGACAGTCACTAACTTGTTGTGGAACATTAGCAAGTCCCTTAATTCTCTTTCATGCTCACTGTTTCCACCTGTCAAATGAGGGGGGTTGGATTAGCCAGATTTGTTTTCCTCTGGCTCTCAAATTCTACAATCCAATCCAGTGCTTTCGGCCAGCAAATCTTCCTAACTTTTCTGACGGTCCGTGGTGTTATGATTATTCTCTAGCTTTCTCCTCCATTTCTTTCTTTTCCCCCCAAATGCCTTTTGCTTTTCTTAACAAAACGTAAGAAAATGGCATGTGGATGTGAGGTAGTGCAAAGTTAGAATTTCTTATTTTTCAGTTTTTAAGCAAGAGTTGTTAATTTTTTTTTTTTTTTGAGAGAGAGAGAGAGAGCAAGCAAGCACACACGTGCGAGTTGGGGGGAGGGACAGAGAGAGAGAGGGAGAGAGAGAGAGAGAAACTTAAACAGACTCCGCCACAGCACAGAGCCTGATATGAGGCTCAATCTCACCACCCTGAGATCATGACCTGAGCTGAAATCAAGAGTTAGACACTTAACTGACTGAGCCACTCAGGTGCCCCAAGAGTTGTTAATTTTTAGTAAGTGTTCCTAATTTTGACTTTTATTTTTAAAACAGAAATTATATTTTGCTCACCTGTTTTTATTGCTCAGTCCCACATTGCAATTTACTTTTGCAATTGCCTTTGTTGTCGCATTATTCTTAAGCCAGATTGAATGTAAGAACTATAATTACTACAATGTTCACTTTCCTATCCAAATTCCTTTGGGTATAGTGCTATACATCAGAGTGTTAATGGTGTTTCTTTACATTAGTTTGTTTTGGATTAGGACTGTAAATATCTGATTTCTTCAAGAAGTATGCAGGATTTGCAGCATTACTGTATGCACCTTATCAAACCCTCAAAACACATTTAAAAAGGAAAATATTAAAATTTATAAGCTTTTTCTACTATGTGGTAATAGCATTATTTATACTGCCAATATTAAGCTGAATTTTGCATCCTGAGATTTTCTATTCTTTGATTAACCTTCCAAAGTAAGATCTCTGAGAATTACTACCAGCTTAGCAGTGATTTAATAACTACAATTATTGAAAGAGAAAAAGGTGGTAATGTTCAGGGAACTAAAGGAAATTAATGCCTGCTGTGTAATTTTGGGTAAATTGCTTAATATTCCTGACTTATT